GAGACAGTGGAGGGGCGTCTGCCTCGTAACTCACTCGGCCCCCTTTATGAGATATTTTATTTATCTTTTTTTTTTTTAAAGATTTTATTTATTCACTTGAGAGAGTGAGAGAGAGAAAAAGCACAAGAGGGGGGAGCGGGAGAGGGAGAAGCAGACTCACCGCCGAGCAGGGAGCCCGATGCGGGACTCGATCCCGGGACTCCAGGATCATGACCCGAGTCGAAGGCAGTCGCTTAACCAACTGAGCCACCCAGGCGCCCCTTTATTTATCTTTTAAAAGATCTTATTTATGGGGCGCCTGGGTGGCTCAGATGGTTAAGCGTCTGCCTTCGGCTCAGGTCATGATCCCAGGGTCCTGGGATCGAGCCCCACATCCGGCTCCCTGCTTGGCAGGGAGCCTGCTTCTCCCTCTCCCTCTACTGTTCCCCCTGCTTGTACTCTCTCGCTCTATCAAATAAATAAATAAAATCTTTAAAAAAAAAGATCTTATTTATTTATTTGAGAGAGAGTGCGCGTGAGAGAGAGCACGAGCAGTGGAGAGGGGCAGAGGGAGAGGGAGAGGGAGAAGCCGACTCCCCGCTGAGCAGGGAGCCCAACACAGGGCTCGATCCCAGGACCCCGAGATCATGACCTGAGCCCAAGGGAGACACTTAACGGACTGAGCCACCCAGGCGCCCCGATTCCCTTTATAAAATATTTTAATGGCAAAACAATATAAGTGACAAAAAAGATTAGTGCAGAGCAAAACAAGAACATAAAAGTTATTGCAGAGTGATAACTTCCTATAAGTCTTTATTTTTCTTTTTTTTTACTAAAAAGCGCTTTTTTAAGCCATTAGGCAAAGAGATAAAACAGGCTTTTAAGAAATCGTGGAGTATACTTTAGAACCTCTCTTGCTAATTTTCTCTTTTAACTTAGCTCCCGATTGCTGAGTGCTGTTTCCTGTTGTCAGCACCTACATGGGAGCTCATTCAACTCACACAGCCGAAGGGAGCAGGTGTGGTGATGATCGTACCCATTTTACAGGTGGAGAAACAGACTCTGAGTGGTTCAGTAACTTACCCATGGGCTAACAGCTGCGGGTGGCAGAGCTCAGATTCATATCGGGCTGTCTGGAGAGTACATGCATCCTCATGCCTTTTATCTGCCTTTCGGTCACATTTCTGAACCGAATAGGCTGCTTCTTTATAACCCACTTTGAATTTCTGTCTTATGATGTTTGCCCAAGGTCTACAGCGGGGATGCTCAGCAGGACCGTACATCCCGAGGGACGTGGATCCCTCCCTAGGGACACTTGTTTGGAGTTCTTGGGGCCACTTCTCCCCCGTGATTCAGATTCCCCCATCACATTTGTACCCCACCTCCGCCCGATGCACCGAGCACACTGCTCTTGCCCAGGAGCGGGCCGTACAGCTCTGGTTCCTCAGGACCCCAGGCGCTTCGGGCCGGTTGGCACCACACACCCTTACCCTCAACTGGCTCTAGCAGCCTTGCGGGGGGATTGCCCGTGCCCGGGGCACCGCTGGGAATAATGCTTAAAAACAGAGCCTTGGGATGCAGCTGCGGTCTCGTTCCCGCCTCTTTGTCCTGTGCTGCTCCTTCCAATCACGGCCCTGGGTTCTCCGTGCGGGCGGGGAGACCGAGGCTCAGCACCATGATGAAGGGACTGCCCGGGCCGCACAGCTATGGAATGGCCGAGCTGGGACCCGAACCCTTCTGTGTTCTAAGCCCATGTTCCTGACAGTGCCTTATTTTGTCAGTCCACGGTCTCATTTTACAAGACGCGTGCGTGGGCAAGCTCACCGCCTTCTGTTGCCGGCACGTGCATTATCTCCCGGGCCCATCATGCGGTGTCCGCTCCGGGACATTCCAGGGTCAGAGGACCTCACGCCACCCTGTCTGATGAGGCTTTTCTTCACCTCTGACCATCCAGGCGGTGTCCCCTCCCCTCTCCAGGGCCGCTCAGCACTGGGCCAGGCGTGAGGGTCAGGAGGGCCCTACACCCCTTTCTCGATGTTGAGGGGAAGGACGGTGTCTCATACATTTTCCCGGACTTTGACGCACCTAACGCTCCCTCACAATTAGTAGCCATGGGTGACCCAGCAAATGCCACGCACCAGGAAAGTGTTGCATGTGAACAAACCTGGTGGGTGGCCCATCTCTTGTTCCCCCATTTCTGTTAGAAGTTTGGTGCTTTATTTATTTTTTTTAAAGATTTTATTTATTGGAGAGAGAGAGTGAGAGAGAGCATGAGAGGGGAGAGGGTCAGAGGGAGAAGCAGACTCCCCACCGAGCGGGGAGCCCGACGTGGGACTCAATCCTGGGACTCCAGGATCATGACCTGAGCCGAAGGCAGTCGCTTAACCAACTGAGCCACCCAGGCGCCCAGAAGTTCGGTGCTTTAGTCATTGAAAGACAGCGTAACAAGAGGCCAAAGGGCAGCCTGCATTTAAGGATAGTTGGGAACACAATAGGGGGCAGTAGGGACGGGCGGGGGTTACGGACCCTCTCCAAGGGGGCTCCCTGCTCCATGCCAGGCACTTCTGCGAGGTGGGAATTGAGGACTGACATGGATGGATGATAAGACTTTTCAAGGAAAGTTGGGAATTGACATTTTTGGACAAGATCATGTCATTTTTAAACATAGGCAACCGATTAAATATTTTTTTCAATATTTGTGCAAGCCAAAATGAACAAACAAGATCAATGAACTGACAAAACCAAGTCTGCGGCAGTGCCATAACCCCGAATGCCCTCACGAGGACGTCAGAGCGAGGAGTCTCCTCAAACCAGCCAGCCCGCTGGCTTCCAAAGGTCAGCCTCGGAAACGGTCACGTCAGAGTCACTGCGGGGCTTAGGAACATACAGATTCTGGGGCCCCAGAGCCCCGGGGCTATGGAATCCATCTGTGGCCCGGGTCCTGAGCCCCTGCAGCCTTTCAGAGCTCTCCAGGTACCGCTGACCTCCGACCAAGTTCACTCCCCATGGAGGATTTCCGGACTTCCCTGATGACCACAGTCCCCTGGGACTCTTGGTAAAAAACGCAGCTTCCCAGTCCCATTTCCTGGAGACGTTGATTCAGCGGGTCTGGGATGGGGCCTGGGAATTTGGTTTAATTTGGTTTTAACAAATTCTTACCCGAGAAGTCTGGAAAGTCCTTGCACTCATGTCCTCCGGAGACTTGGAGAGGGAAGCTTTGCCTGGAACGTCACGGAGTGAACCCGCCCATCTGCCTCTCGACTGACCGTGCTCTTGGACAGCACCCTGCGGGCGGCCCAGTGGGCAGCTGTGGACACTGGGGCATGTCCTCGGGGGTGGGGTGCACACCACTGGTGTGTACAGGGCTCTCTGCACGTGGTTTGGCAGGAGACGGGCGAGTTGGTTTCTACAGCCTGGCCAGGATGGAGCTTCGGGCTGGTCTTGGCTGCCCTCTCGGCCCCAGCAGGCAGCCACAGATAGGACCCTGGCGGGACACTTGCAGGGCGTCCAGGCATTCCTATGGCCCGAGGGGTCCTTGTCCTGGGCATCCGGGATTCCGGAGAGCTGGGCATACACCCAGTTGGTCAGGGCAGGACCTCAGGCTGAGAGAAACATCAGACAGGCCAGTTTCCTAACTGCTCCTCAGAGCCTGGGGACGGCAGAGAGGGAACAGGACACGAGCATCAGCCCCAGGATCCCTGGCCCCCTCAGCGGCGCTGCTCTGATGTGTCTATGTGTCCACACAAGATTTCTTTTGAAGACCAGGTCTGGTAGCTACAGAAGTTTGAAAAACTTGATGTAGGGCAAGTCCTTTACGGCTGCGATGGGGAAACCAGCCCAGCAAGGGACGGACTGCTGAGGATGTAGAACAATGTTCCTAAAGAGACTGAAGCCATGTGGGAGACTTGGAGCCCAGTCTCAGCTCTGTTCCTCTCGCTGTGTGGCTCTGGGCCAGTTGTGCACATCTCTGAACCTCCCTTTGCTTTCTTCAGAAGCTGCCTGCAGACTTGACCACAGGTGTCATCGTCTGGAATCCCCAGCCCCAGGGACATGGGCAAATTTAGAGGATCCACGAACTCTGATGGGAAGACACCACATCTTTAAGTTTTTTACCTCTAAGTTAGCATTTCCTTCAATTATGCATATTAGTACCAAACTACAGTAGCATTCGCAGCACCTGACTTTGTTACCGAGCCAGAAGACCAACATATTTTTCTGTCTCAGATAAGATTGATGCTCATCACTATTGCAAAATTACTGTAGTTGTTAGATTTGCCCTTCGATCTTGCTTCATGCATTCATAAAGGAGCGCTTGAGTCTATATCGCACTTCCAAAATTATTTGGATGACTGTATTTCAATATAATCCGTTTCCTTGGCACTCGCTTGCATTTTATCCTATGCATCCAAAAACGTTATTCTGAGAAGGGGTCCATGGCAAAAAAGTTAAGAGTCTGGTGTTACTGGGAACTCCATGAGGACGGCGACAGGGATTCTGCCAACTGCAAATAAAGCAGGGAAGAGGGACAGGGAGCTGCCGTTTGAAAATAAAGTGGTCGGGGGAGGCTTCAGTGAGCCCTCTGAGCCGGACGGGAAGGAGGTGAAGGTTTCGTTCCGCGGCTGCGCAGCCCGGGGAAGCGAAGTGGGTTCCACCGGGAGGGGAGAGCCACGCAGCTTCACGAGGCGGGAGCAGGTGTGAGGCCAGTGGGCCGAGTGGCAGGAACTCGAGCAGGTGTAGCCGAGATGAGATTAAGAAGTTACTTTCCCCGGGGCCTCCTTGGCCATGGCCAGAGCCCTGCCACGGCAGGGTTGGGGGCCGGGGGTGGGGGGGCTCGATCAGTCAGTTTGGGATGACTCCCTCAGGCCGCTGTGCGGCAAGCAGCCTAGGGGCAGGCGCGGGGTGGGGGCGGTTGGAGGTTATCGGGGTAACCCGGGCAGAGGAGCGGGCTGGGGGAGGCACCTGGGCCTCGGACTCCTCCGCGGCCCCTTCACGCGCCGGTCGCCCCGGCTTTCTCCCCGCAGGGCGCGGCGTGGACGGCAGCGCGGCGCTGGACATCGTGCACCCGGTGCGCGTGGACGCGGGGGGCTCCTTCCTGTCCTACGAGCTGTGGCCGCGCGCGCTGCGCAAGCGGGACGTGTCCACACGCCGCGCCGCGCCCGCCTTCTACGAGCTGCAGTACCGCGGGCGCGAGCTGCGCTTCAACCTGACGGCCAATGCGCACCTGCTGGCGCCCGGCTTCGTGAGCGAGACCCGGCGGCGCGGCGGCCTGGGGCGCACGCACATCCGCGCCCGCGCGCCCGCCTGCCACCTGCTCGGCGAGGTGCAGGACCCCGAGCTGGAGGGCGGCCTGGCGGCCATCAGCGCCTGCGACGGGCTGGTGAGTGCGCCCCTCCCCCCCCACGTCGGACTCGCCGGGGGCGTTGTTCGCGCCTGCATGGTGGGGGTGCTGTCCCCCAGGATGGCGGTCCTCAGGCTTGAACTCGAGCCGGAAGCACCCGCCGGCCTCGTTAACAACAGTGTGCTAGGGTGGGCCGGGGTGGGTCTCTCAAGCCCGCATTTCTGACCCTTTCCCAGTGTGGAAGCTGCAGGTGCAGAGAGCCGACTTTGAGAATCACTGTGTAGACCGGGTAACTCCTCTAACAGTGCAGTCCTTCCCTGGGAGCCTCGGTTCTGACTGTCGCCCACGGATCCCTCTAGGCTGTTCTTCTCGGGATCAGACAGCCTCCCCGTTACCTTTCCTCCCGGGAGATGAGGCCCCCACCGCCCTGCTCCCGGTGGAGGTGATGCTGGCTAGGGCTTGCAGCCTCAATTGCCTCCCTCCGTTTGGGTGCTGGGTTGGAGCGGCTCCCACTCCGGGCGGCACAGGGACCCCTTCTGCTCCCCGCTAGGTGACCGGCTCTGCCCTCCCCACTCTGGGAGGTGCGGGTGGGGTGTGGGAAGAGTGGGGGGACGTGTGTGCATTTTCAGCCGTCCACCGTTCCTAGGAAGGCCCTCAGCTCAGAGTGCTCAGGAAGTCCATGGGCTGTAGCAGAACAGGGCCTAATGACAGACGGCCTGCATCACAGCTGCAGGTCATCTAGACCTCGGAGAGCCTGGGCCTGTCCTCCTCCATCCCGTTAATCTTGTTGAATCTCTGCAGCAGCTGAGCATATGGGTGCCAATCCCATTTACAGATGATGAGACAGGCTCGGAGGGGCACTTTGCCTGGGGCCACCCAGTTCCGCACTCGAACCCAGTCTCCGGTGGTGCACTTTCTGGTGTTCGGGGTTCTTGGCCCTGCACAGCCCAAGGGCAGACGTGGGGCCAAGGCGGGAGCTGCAGGGGAGATAAAACCCGTCTTCCTGTTGGAGGCCTGGGCTTCCTCTGGGGGTGCTGGGCTGTCCAAAGACACTTCCCAAGCCCCCCCGCCCCCCGGCCTCTCTGAATGCTGGTGGGTGTGCCTGAGACACCCCTGCCTGCCTCCCTGCTCTGGCAGGCCCTGGGACCAGGGCATAGGATGTCCTGGTGACAGTGGGCATCCCTGTGGCTTGGGTGTGGGCAGAGCGGCCCTGGGAGTGATTCATCACTTCGGCGAGATTGGGATGCAGGCCAGTTTGCAAGAGGACATAATGGCTGGCATGCCAAGAAGAGGGAGAATGGTCTGGATGCCCGGCTGCCTGACTCAAGACGGCCATCCGGGACTGCGCAGAAGATGCCATCTTAGATTTAGCGTGGCCCCATTTCCTGCTCCTGACGGGGGGGGGGCAGCGTCCTCCTGAGACGGGTGGCCTCTGAGCTCAGCCTTGGGCTGTGTGAAATGGCAGGGAAGGCAGGCAGAGGGTACAGAGTCAGAGGCCCGGAGGGAGGAAAGCGCATGCATTCGGGGTCAGTCGGGTGCTGGGAACAGTGTGGGCTCAGCTGGGCAGGATGGGCCTCGGGGACGGGTGGGCAGAGCGCCCAGTGCTGGCCCTCTCCTGTGACCCTGGCTCTTTCTCAGAAAGGTGTGTTCCAGCTCTCCAACGAGGACTACTTCATTGAGCCCCTAGACGGTGTCCCGGCCCGGCCCGGCCACGCCCAGCCCCACGTGGTCTACAAGCGCCAAGCACCTGAGAGGGAGGCAGCGCTGGGTGACTCTGGGGCTCCAGGCACCTGTGGGGTACAAGGTATGCGCCTCTGCAGCCAGCTCTGGGGGAGGGGCCGGGCCAGAGGCATCGAGCTCCCTTCCAGAAGCCTCTCCTGTCCACACCCCCACGCTCAGCTCCCCTCGAACCAAAGGGATGCAGACAGACGGACAGACCCATCACCATAGCCTGCCGCTACCTTCCAAATGGGCCACGGGCCTGAGGCCTCTGCCTGCCGGGCCTGCCCCAGCCGAGGCCCTGGGCTGACCCTCTCACGCCCACCTCACCTGCCTCCCCTCCCGCTCACTGCCTGCCGCACCTGTCAGCCATTCTTCCCCGAGTGGCCAGGCCCGTCAGGGCAGCCCACAATAGCTGACCTCTGGGCCTAGCCCACAATAGCTCTCCTCTGTTACTGGGGAGCCGGCACCTCCTCGCCCGGCGGCCACATCGCTGGCCAGTCCAGGAAAGGAGCAGCCCAGCACGGGCTGCCCGGCTCTGGGGACGGCTCGGCCAGCACGCCAGCCTCGGCGGCTGCCACAGCTCAGGGCCTCCACTCAGCGGAGCAGGCATCCAGACTCACACTTGGGGCCTCAGTCTTCCCGGCTTCCTAGATGCCTGGGGCAGGCGAGCAGGTCTCCAGTGGGGACGGCCTCCCAGGAGGGGGTGGGGCCCTGGGGTCCCCCTGTGCTGGGACCCACCAACCCCCGCGGGCAGGGAGCAACACGGGGAGGTGGGGGCCCGCAGCTCCTTGCTGTGTTCGCATCTACCCTTCCGTGGCGGCCTGAGGGCACCTTCTGAGCTCTCTGGCTGATTCCTTTTTACAGCCGGGGATGCTCAGGGTCGGGGTTGGGGGGAGGTGGCCGGGCCAGGGTCACACAGGCCTGGGGCAGAGCCACGTGGGAGCCCAGGCCGCCTGCTCTGGTCCCGGCGCCGTCCCCGCGGCCCCAGAGCCCTGGAGCCGCGACCCGCTGGCCGCTGACC